ATAAAAAATATAAAATTTCCTTTTATATTTAAATAGAGTAATCCTTCATTATACACTTAATATCATATTTTCCCACTTCACAACTCCAAAAAGCGTCCAAATCTACTTAAGCAACACTTTATCATTTCTTATTTGCACAAAGGAAAGAAAAAAAAAAAAAAGAAAGAAAAAAAGAGCAAGGTGACGTGGCCCTTATTTTATAAAAAAATATTTTTTATATAATTTTTTTATCTTATCTTTTTATACAGTTTCATCTGTTATTAAAGTAATTAATTCTTTTAATTTATATAAAATTTATAATATTAGATACATTTAACGTTTAATAATATAAAAAAATTATATAAAAAATTTATATAAAAAAATCATGCTTGTAACACCATCCTATTTTACAAGGTGTTGTTAGTTGGAAAGCACAATCCTGAGCATGGTTGTCAAAATTGCGATATAAATTGTTAAATCGAATGATTTTATGATGTTAGATATGTATTTCGAGTAAACTCTATGTCAAAATTGAATCTCCATAAAATCGAAAGTAAAATCTCGTTTGAAATCTCAATTTTACTTTCAAAGATTGAGGAAGACGCTTTCAGGAATTCAGACATTAATTTGATCTCTGATCTTCTTTAGGTTTGTCGCAGGAGAGGGAGAAATTGGACTGCTGCAGTGCCATTGCTCACTGTTGCTACTCACGTCGCTACTCGCTGCTCACTGCTCAAGTAAAGAAGTTGTTGATCAGACAGAAATCTATTTGGTAAGTGGTGACCCAAATCATCTGGAGATGTCGATCAAGGAGATTGTTAAAGAAATTGATTTTCTAAATTTTGCAACTGTGGAGAATTAAAATTGAAATGAAGGAATGAAGAAGAGAGAGTAAGAGGAAAGAAAGATGCAGTAGGGTGAGGATGATGATGAAGATGAAGTTGAAAAAAAAGAAGGTGATGATGATGAGCAGTAACAACTGTTGATATAAAAATTTGGGTTCTGTGGTTGTCTTTCTTAACCACTTGTGTTTTTAACCTTGTTTTTTAATCCATGGTTAGTTGTTGATCCAATTTGGGTTAAGATGTTCTGTACTAAATATACCCAATTTACTGTTTAAAACTTTGATTAACTCAATTGAATATAAAAAATATAAAAATATAAATTTTTATTATTTATTTATTAAATTTAATAAACTCTCGATTTTATTCAATTTTAGTATTTCAATTTTAACTATCAAAACGATTTTGGATAAAACCTCGATTTTCACATGTTCCTAAGCATGAGCAGTACCAGGGACACTCGGTTTTTGCACTCTCCGGCCACCACTTCCCCTTTCACTGGGCCACGTAAGCTTCTTTAAAGCTTTCAGCACAACCTCTCGGAAACCAAAATAACGTGGCCCAATAAAAGAGAAAGTGTTGGCCGGAGAGTGCAGGAGGCGAGTGCCCCTAGCATTGCTCTCCTGCTCTTTTAAATGAGGCTGTCCTCAAGGAATTTGTGGGAGAAAAACCATCCACAGTTCCATCATCTTCACCTTAATCCTACGACTCGGGCCTCAAAATCCATTGCTAATATCTCAAAATCCGCAGTTCATTGAAAATATTTTCTTTTTGAAACAAGACAGATCATCACCAGCCGACCATCATCTCCCATACCCATGCTTGCATTCTGCTAATCTTCATGAAAATTTGAAATTTTTGTTGGAAAATCGCTTGGCATACTTACTTGAAGAAAGACTTCATCATTCATTTGCATATACTCGCAGATCTGAAGCAAATTTTGGAATTTTTGCATGTCAAGGTAAGCACGAACTTTTCCTCTTTTTAAACCAATATTCTACGCTACTGTTATCTTTTTAAATCTTGTTGATTCTTGTAAAGATAGGTCGTATTTGATCTTTTTGAAGAGGTACCTTACTCATGCTCATTTATTTGGGGAACTATAGATTTGAGGGAAGGAAATTTCAAGGAGGCTCTGTTCTTCGAAACACCCTTATTTTATTTATTTTTATTTTATTTTTATTTTTTTGCGCTTCAATCTTCTTGCGAGGATTTGAGTGGGTTTGATTTTTGGCTGGTGGGTTTTGGGATCTCGTTTGTGAAATCTCAAAAAAGGGTTCGGAAATTATTTTCTACGGCGAATCCTGATTTCTTCTTCTTGGATAGTAGTTTTATCATCTAAGAATGTCAGCTGAAAATTTTCTTGTAGTTCTTAGGCGTTTTATTTGAAAATCAGGAAGTAATTGTTAAGGGAAGCTAACGAAACTAATATACTTACTAGTAGAAAAGTGAAGTACTGTCTATTCTACACAAATATTGTACTTCATTTAGATTTTGTTTAGCGTGATTTTGGGTTTTAGTTTTTAAATTTTAATTTTTATATGTTTATTAACTATTATTATATTTAAAATTTAAAATTTATAATAAAAATTTTAATTTATTTAATTTAATTTAAATATAATAGTTGTGACTAAATATATTAAATTTAAAAATAAAAACCAAGAACAAAAATTATACTAAACAAAATCTTAATTGTTAACAGGTGAGGTATGTCTTCCGATATTAGAGCGTACTCGTTCGCTAACAGTTAATTATTTTTTAATTCGTGCAATACACACTATCAAATAATATTATATATTCTATTTGTTTAAATTTAGTAATTTTAATTTATTTTTTAATTTTTTAAATAAAAATTTTAAATAAAAATTTAATTGTTTATATAAAAAAATAATAAAATTTTTAATATATAATTTTTATTGAATATTTTTATTTAATAAAAAATTTAAAATATTATTTACATAATATATTAAATTTTTATTTAAAATTTATATTAAAACATATAAAAATTATATAAAGACTACTAATCTGAGCAAACAGAGGAATTATTAGTCACAAGATCATAATTATTTACGGTAGGACTCTCAAAAATCGTGCATATCAACTTGGGCCCCCCAGCAAGCCTATTAGTTTCAAGATCATGAATCATAATCCACTATGGTTTCATGGCAAACCGACAGCATAATCAATTGTGGGGGACCTAGTCATTCATGGTGTCCGCACGCACATTTTGACATTCCAACTGAAGGTAGGAGCACCCAATTTTCATACCAGAATTTCAATACCAGAACTTCAAGCCATTAGTTTTGCTTATGCTATTATTAGAATTGTAGCAGTTGTTCTAGCTTCTAATTTTTTTTTTTTTTTCAACAAATTGACAAGAGACGGGGTTCGAGGGGAGGGGGCATGCACCTCAATCTGACAATGTGTCAGTTGACTCGAAAATCAGGTGCGTTCTAACTTTTAAATTTTAATCATTCTTTTAAAATTTAGTTCAATTAGGTTATTTTAGAGTATATTTGGTAAAATTTATAAAAGTTTTTATTTTTTTATATTATTTATGAGTGATAAGTTTAAATTTTTATTAAAAAAAATAAAAGTTACTTTTAAAAATAAAAAAAATAAATAAAAAAGAAATTTATAAAAAATATAAATTTGAAACATTTCAAATTTTATTATTTAAGATCTTTTCAAAGTTAAAAAGTTAAAAAATATAAATTTTTAAGAAAAAAATTCAAATTTATAAAATATGAATAGTATTAAAAAATTAAAATTTTTATAAGTTTTACCAAACATGCTCTTAGATAGATGAATCAAATTTAATTAAAAAGAGTTGGGTATATGCTTTAACTCATTTAAAAAAATTAACTTCATCAAATCTTGTCAAACCCACAAAATCCAGACAATCAAGCGACCAGTTGAACAATTGCTCAAATTAGGCACGAGACATTTTTTTTTCTCTCTTTATGATATATATATATTTTTTTGATAAAAACAATGATTAATAAGTTAATATTATTAAATATTAAAGATTCAATCTCCAAATTTGATGAACAGTTCACCCGCCTTTACGAGACCCGTGACCACCGGACGGTTCGGTGAAGTTCCTTTATGATACTATTTGGTATGCATGTGTCCGAGTACACATTTACCAATTACCATCTTCTTATCATGTTTTTTTAACGTTTTCAACGT